CTTTTATTTATTTATCAGATTCCAGTCTTATTTACGAGTACCTCCATAGAATCGAAACAATTTCGCTTTTCGGTTTCCCATTAGAAAAAAAAAAGTTACAGTTACAGAGACTCTGAGAGTAATTATGAGTGTAAGCAGGGGAATCTTTTAGTAATCGGTCGTTCGAATGCGGACGAGGCAGAGCTTTGGCCATTACGAATGCCTCTTGACCTGCAGACCACGTGTAGGGTTAAGTGCTCGGCCAAGGGAGAGAGCAAATCATTTTTTGTGCTTTCTCAATAACGCGAAGTGATTCGGAAGAGGACTTGCTCCGCATTAACTGGCCAATCACTGCCATCACCCTATCGTCGCTGGAGCTAGAAGAGGTTACTAGATTTGGCGAAAACTCTCCTCCTCACATTTTGATTTCTTGTAAGAACAAGTTGAGTGAGATAGGAAAAATAATGATACATTTTTCTGTGAAGTTTGTTGACCATGATTTATTCTAAACAAGTGAAATAAGTAAAAATAGTTAAATCACAATCATCTACGAGATTAAAGTAAGCCATAAAGAAAGTCCCTTAAATTGATTTTGGTGATTTAATGATCTGATTTTCTTTTACTAAAATGCAGTCCCTTAATTTAAACCTTAATAAGGTCTTGCGAACTATCCACCCCACCCATTAAATTAATTTGTAAATAATGATGGGAATCTATTATCCCACTTGTGACTTGTGCAGCCATCATCAGATACAATCAACTTGTTTAGTTACAGTTAACAATTATTAAAAATTAAATAAATGCTCATTTTTAGAGAGTTATATTTTATTTGGAGAACAATAACATAAGTTTTGTGAGAAACTATGTTCAATCAAATTACACAAGTGAACAATTAATATGATATAAATGGTTAATATAATATAATTTTTTGCACTGTTGTTAAATGATCTCTATGGCAAATTATATTTAACAAATTTCAATTAAAATCAAAAATTCATTAGCAATTAAACTAAAATCGTGACAAACTTACAATAATTACTGTGCAAATTGATTCAGTTATATTTTATCCCTATAGAGTAAAATTAAAGTTTTAATAAAATTTAAAAAAAATGATAGAATATTTGAATTAAATGATTACTTTCTTAACGTAATAATAATCTGTTTATTATCAAGACACAAAAATGTTTCCAAAGCAATCATGAAGAGTTGGTGAGCAAAGCTAGCTGGAGATTACACTCCTTGGTTTAAAATGTTTTGATAAGAAACGGAGATATGTAAAATTTCAAGAAATTTGGTCATATAAGACTTTAAATCCAATCAATTTTTTAAACAGTTTTATGAACTTTTATATTTGAGTAGTTAATAATTCAAATATTTCTTGTCTATTGACGCTGAAAGAAAATCATTCAGTCATGATTTAAGTAAAAATAATCACTTAATTACATTAAGCATTTGTGAAAGTTTCAAAATAATTCCAGGAAAAATTATTTATGAACTATTTATTGACATTTAAAGCATATCATACAATGACATAAATAGGAATCACAAGGTATGATCGAAATAGAAATGAGAGTTAATTACATTAAGGGATTGCAAAAATTTCTAATTAATTTCTAAAGATTATAAAAAGAAATATTTATGGTGTATTTAATGACATAAAAAGCAAATCATACTACGATTTAAATTGGAATCACTAGGAATGATATAAGTTGAAATAATGAGTTAATTACACTAATGATTTGCAAAAAAGTTTAAATTAAATTCCTGAAAATTTTATGAAAAAAAGCATTTATTGTCTGTCGACGACTTAAAGCAAATCTTACGATGATTCAAGTTGGAATCACTAGGTATGATTTAAGTAGAAAGGAACTAAAAGAACACTAAAGGTTTGCAAAAAATTTAAAATCAATTTCTTAAAAATTTCAAGAAAATGTTTTTTTTTTTTAAAGCAAGTCATACAAGGTGGTATCACTAGATATAGATAAGATTTATGAGCATTAAATTTTACTAAGCAGTAGTGCAGTTAATTTTGCCTCTTAGTCATAAGCAGTTAATTTTACTAAGATTTGCAAAAAAATTCCAATCAATTCCAAAAAAATAAATAAAAAAGATTCCCAGAAAAATATTTACTGCTTATATTAACACTTTAAAGCAAGCTATGATTTAAGTAGGAATCACTAGGTTTATTAACACTTGTTTATTAACATTTTGAAGAATCCTATGATTTAAGCTAGAATCACTAGACATGATTTATGAGCAGTTAATTTTACTTCGGGTTTGCAAAAAAAAAATTCAAATTAATTCCTAAAAGACTCCCGAAAAAAGTATTTATTGTCTATCGACTCCCTAAAGTAAGCCATACTATGATTTAAGTAGGAATCCGAGATTTGGCGCCCACCATCTGGATCTGTATCTTGGCGACTCTCTCCTCCTGTCCGGTAACCTGGACAATGATGCAAGGCCATACCTCTTTCAAGTACCGGACTGGACTGGGAAATTCCCACTCCCCATCCATTCTTCATGAAGGTAGAACTCAAACTTCATAGACATTCCGAACTTCGACGGTCCAGGATTTTTCCTGGCCATCTACGATTTAGTGCCCCTACTCTTTTTCCCACCCTCTGGGACTTCTGCCCCAATGAGCAAGTAGTGGGACCCTCGGGAGGTCAGAAACACGAGAAATTTGCCCCATTTTGATTCCGAAATACGTTTTGTTACTGTTATTGATAGCGTATTCTGTCTGCAGTTAAGCGTTCTTTTATTGAGCTCGGGATCCGGAATTATATTTTGTACTTTAGAGTCCGGCTAACATTTATACGTCCCGGATTTTTGTTCCTCTTTTTATGGTCCTCTCTTTTTTCTCTTTCGTCCGGGGAGAAGAATAGGTGTAAATATTTCAGGAATTCCTTTATTGTTTTTAGTACATAAATGAAGAACTCTTCCCTCTTCGATGTTTTGTTTTATAATAGTTATCATTTTATGGTTGCAATTGGGGATGATTTCATCACATGCATAGAGATGACTTCATTTGTGACGTGACTTCATTTAAGTTGATTACTTCGGAGTTCTTTTTTTTCCTTCAGAAGAATACCACCCAACAAATCGTAAAATTTGGGGTTCAGACAGTATAAATATAGCAAAAAATAAACAAATACGAAACTTAGGAAGTAGACAAAATAAACAATCTGAAGAAAAGTCCACTAAAAGTTTCTTGTATACTTTCATTTAAGACATTCTGGTAAAGTAGAATAAAACCTTAACTAATATATCCTGAGAGCTACTTTACCTGATAAAATTTCAAAAATGCAGAATACATAAAAGAATAACCGCATTTCAGTTTCAATCTTTTTTTTCCCTTCATAAACCTTCATAGTGATTGGTGCATGTTTTTACCCTCAAAACTACAATACAATACTTATAATAAGAATAGTTATTTGACTTTATTTTCTAAGAAGATTCCAAAAATATATGCATACTTGCAACCAAAATTATGTGATACTTGCAGCTTATGCGCAATAAATAAATTTTCTTCGCTCTTCTCGTTTTTCTTATTATCCATTTTGTCTTTATTGTGCTACACATATATATTGTGAAAAAAATTGATTGTGTTATATTTTTAATTGTTATTTAACGGAATTTGGTATCCCAGCTGCAAGGCACTAAGTGTCTTCCTTAGGTGGGCTTAGTTTGTTCGATAAAAGTCTTGTTGTTTAACACTAGATTGCCTAAGGAAGTCATTTTGACTGCTTTTAATTTCAATTGGAAAAACAATGATGTATATAATGACAATTTCTTAGAATTTTGCGACTTTTTGTACAACACGTAATTTTTTTTATTGTTAATATTTACTAATAACTTGCTATATAACAGTAAATAATATAAAAAATGTTAAAAATTAATTTTAAACAAATTTATTCACGCATTCACAATCTAGTCATTTTGACTGCTTTTGGGCAATATAGGTACATATTAATTTTCCGTCTTTCTAGTGTAAACCGTATTAGGTGAAAGTAGATAATAAACGGTTTTTCTCTCAGTTTGAATTTCATCAGATTTATTGTTACTTGACTGTTTTGTTTGAATATGGTAAAATAACAATTAACTAAATTGTTATTTAACAATTTTTCCGAGAAATTTCTATGGTCATGCGCAGTATAGTTAATCTACAAGCAGTTACTAAGCGTCTCACATCAAGCTTTTTCTTGTATTGGCAGCATATATGGCAGTACTTTTATTTTCGTTACTAGTACCACCGGTACAAGTAAAAAGTACGTACTTTTTCTTGTACTTCGTTACTTTTTAAATTTAGTACTTTTACTTGTACTTTCGTTACTTTTTTAGGGAAAAAGTACAAGTATTTGTAACGGAAATATCGAATGAAATCGTTACTTTTTTCTAAAACTCGGCAAGCTTTCTAAAAAAAAATAATTTAAATTTAAAAATAAATGCTTATGTTTCTTTAATTTATAAAATTAATGTGCAATATATATGCATTCACAGCTAACTTCGTGTTTAAATACCTTCTGTTTCAACTTCAGTGCACATTCAGTTATTGTTTACTAGCTCAAATATCACAAAGCAATCTGAAACCCCGTGTTTGCCTTGTTTATGTATGTGCTTTTAAAACGCGTTTCTAGAGAGTAAAATAATTTTAAATCAATGGTAATTTAAATAAATAAAAATAATAAATTAAAATCAATAGATAAAATTTCTTTTTCGTGCAAATCCATAAAAAGTTTGATACTAAAANTGTACATGTAGATTTATTAAATACACCTTGTGCGCCACCTAGGAACCAAATCTATAACCCGACACTCGAAATTTTTGCTCTGTTACAATCGTACCCTGTTACAATTGACCCCACTCTCCCCTATAGTTAATCTGCAAACAGTTACTAAGCGTCTCACCTCAAGCTTTTTCTTGTATTGGCAGTAAAAATTATGTTCGGATACTTCTTCAACCTCTTATATTTTTAAACTTAAGTAAAATGACTTTAACACTTTTGCATCTTATTATTTCAGGTGAGAAACCCCATAAGTGCACAGTCTGTGGTAAGGCCTTCAGTCAGTCATCTAACCTAATCACGCACAGTCGGAAGCATACGGGATTCAAACCCTTTGCCTGCGATATTTGTGGACGAGCTTTTCAGCGAAAAGTCGATCTCAGAAGACATAAAGAAACACAACACTCTGACATGAGGGCACTTCACTAGACCGGTTATTCGACTGTAAACAGCTGGGAAACTGTTCTACACTGCTGTTTCGATGTATGTGTATATTGGAATTTTGTCACATCGACTTCAAAATTAGCGTCCAGGGCTAACTATAGCTTCAAAATACCACGACTTGAGGAAGCTGGATTCGACACTAAACCGACTGTGATTATATTATGCATGGTCTAAGTTGATATCATGAACGAGTGATACGCATTACCAGTTGCTGTAATCTCTATACAGGCAACATGACGCGTCTTTAAAGTGAAACTATTTAGAAAATCATTCTTTTAAATGTGCTTCAAAGTCATAAATTAAAGGTACCTTTCAGATACATCTGAAAACCAACATGACTGAGGACTAGTCGATTGTCTGCAAAAAAAACGCGAAATTAAAAAGACTCAAAATTTAATATAAAAGTTAATTACGACAATGAGAAATTCATTTTTGTTGATTGATCTTCATATGAACAATAAATAAATAAATAAGAAATTCAATTTCATTTATGAATATTCATATAAACAGTAAATTAAATAATGATAAATCCAATAAAACTTAATTTCAACAATAAGTCAAACAATTCCAATTTTTTTAATGGATCTTCCTATTAACAATAAACTAAACATTAAAAATATCCAGTTCTGTTTACGAATCCTTTCAACAATAATAAATGAAACAATTAGAGATCCAAATTTGTTGAGGAATGAAAAACAATGAATGAAAAGTTGATGAGACTTATGAGTATTAATTAAGACAATAAGAAATATGGCTTTGGTGAATCCTATCAACGATGAATGAAACAATGAAAGAATCTAGTATCGTGAATGAAACTTCATATCAGAAACCAAGAAAATCAAGTTTTCTAGAAAATATTGACTTCAACACTATAAGTGTTCAATTATTAGTGTTGTCATTAAGCAGTTTTAGTTTTGATATCAATATTTCTGGAGTAACTTTCAGCATTTAGTTGAATATGTATACAAGTATCTAAACAAATTTCATTACTCCTCTATTATATAAGTTACTACACATCATACTCCAATAATCTGAAGAGCATATCTAGGTCAACGAAACAAAACATAGCCACGATTACAAATATGTTTCCATGTTAATTCTGAAGAAAATAATGAAACGCCGTTTCATTTTTGCATTGCAAATGTCTTTTTTAAAATATTACAATATAAATATTAGCCCATTCAAGACCGTGATCACGTGAGTCTCTTCATGGCCTACAGTATCATATATCTGAGACGAGCCTTTCTGATTTCAGCGGCTTATGATCATACGGATATGATCTTAATTTGCTGTTTTCATATCAGTACGTATACGAACACTTTAGTATGTATACTCTGGGACCGTGAGGGCTTGGGGAAGCGCTCTTTTTCTCTTCCTCAGCCCTGACAAAGAAATCTCCAAGAGATATCTAGTTCCAAAACCATATTTATGAATTATTATTAAAAAAAAATGAATGCCCCAAAACAGCCTTTCCTTGCTGTTTTTATTTTGAATTGAACGAAGACTTATCTAAATTTAAACATCTAGATATTTGGAATTAACTTTTTAAAATATGATTGAGCTTGTTTTCTTCACCTGGTACTTCCAGTAGCGGTACATTTAGTCATTATTTGCAGTTCTTGGGTAAAACAAAGACTAGTTTTATGTAAAGCCCTGGATACTTCGATAAAGTAGCGACATGCCGCCATCTTGGTGACTGCAACTCTCTTGTGACCGCAATTTTCACTGTAGAAATACTTAGTTTCAATTCTTAAACACGATTTTTTATTTATATTTTAATATTCTTAAAAATAACTTAAATATTCACTATTTTTAATTTAAATTCTTTATTTTTCTTTCTGAAATTATAAAATTTGTTTTTATTTCATGCAGGGAAAATAATACCTTATAAGTTAAAACTTTCTCATTTCGTCTTTCATAACATGCTGTAACTTTTTTTTCTGAACTCTTTGAAATTTTCTGCAATCGGTTTTTTATGAGGTTCAAAGGGTTAAATATAGTTAGAAATAATTAAAATAATATCAGTTTTTTATGTACTTTAAAATTAAGGTATGTGATAAAACAGTCAATAATCAGCAAATGGGAGCTTTGACACATTTAATAACAAAATAGATAAATTTTGATTTGTTCAAAGATTAATAAATATTTGTTCGAGAATTCTTATTCAAATTCTGAATTTAAAATGCAACAATTTTGTTTTGCACTATCGCTAAATTTTATTACAATGTATGATATATTTAAAATAATAAGAAATAAAGAAACTAAGAGTTCAATAGGAATTAGATCATTATTAAAACGTTGAAATTTAAAATTTATTCAATTGAAAATTTTTTAATATGTACGCTAATTTACTTTTAACTTTGAACGCAAAACACTAAAATATTTCAATGCTATTAATATCTATTTGTTTAGCTTTCTAGCGAAAAAATTATTTAAGTAAAAAACAACATTTTTAATCTATTATCTTTCAGGTGAATATATTTAATACAACTGAATTTATCAAACCTCTAATTGAAAAAAAAAGCGAAACATATTCGCTTTACATAATTAATAAATAATATCTTTTCAAAATTTGTAACAAATGAATAAATAAATAATTTTCGAACTTACTTGACAAAATCTTCTGTTTTCGATTGGCTTCTATTTATCACTGCCAATTCTATGCATCCATATTTTCTGCCGTTTTTTTTTATTGCGATTTCCAACTGGTAAGTGATTAAATTTAAAGCCGAAATTTGACTTAATTGAACATCTAAATACGCAACAACCAGTCATTATAAATTTAAAAGCAAGAAATAAAAAAAGTAAAAAGAAAAGCGAAAATAAAAATAACAAACCGGGCGCAATGTTACTTAGCTGTTTAAACTAGTCAACAAAATGGCGACAGTTTGCCCATGTGATCAGCGATAGCCAATCGAAATTGAAAGCGGCACAAAGGTCGTAAGGAAAAGAGTAACCCTACTTTATCAAGGTAATCTAGGGTTTAGCTTTATGATCATATTTAAATCCAAACGCATAACATGCAATGGTACATACGGCTCCAACTTTCATCAGAAAATTTAAAAATGTTGATTTAAAAGATAATAGTTCTGGAGGAAATTCTGTAGAATGATGTATTTCCTCAAACAATACACGGCATATCGATTTCTATAGACATGCCGTGAAATTCTGTACAAATTGTAGAAAATATATTTAGTGAATATAACGTGTTTCTTAAATTATTCTAGTCATTTTTGAAACATATATATTGTGTAAATAATTACATATTTGTAAAGTTTATAGTATTATTAAATGACGGTTAATGCACTCTTTGAATCAGTACATGTCGAAATTATTATTATCTCAGTAAGAAATAATTTATGCAGCCTTCAATTATTTGAGGTTTGATAATTTTTTATGATTGTTATTATATTTGAATAGAATCGGTACAGTTTTGTTTAATAATTATGTATAGGATATATTCAAAAAGCATGTACGATCATCCTTATTTTTAAAGGGGATTGTTTAAGAGAAGTATTTAAAAAATCTTTTGAATTGATAGCTACAATAAATGAGCAACTTTTTAAATCAAAGCTTTTTTTTATGTCTCCTAAACGTAAGATTGATTTCCGTAGTTTGACTTTTTTATATACATCCAAAACAGTAACTTATTCCATGCATTTTAACTTTTTATATGTTCCTTAAACATTTAATTATTTTCCGTGCCTTAATATTTTTAAATATTTCATAAACATTGAATTGTTCAACGAACTTTAACTTTTATTTATATGTTTCTTAACCCCTTGGGGACGGGTGATTCAAAAAAGCATTCGTATAAAATCGGAATCAAGTTTTAATTAAATAAAAAACGGTAACTTAAATGCAGTCGTTGCTAATTTGACAGACTTACATTGCTTTTACTTTAATTATTGTTAGTTTAATCATATATATAATCAATGTTAGTTCAAAGTATAACTAAATAGTTTTATTTTGAACAAAGTAATGATGAATTAAATAAATCAAGCAATTATAACTCCTCCCAGAAATAAACTGCTAAAGAAATACTTTGATTACCAGTTTTATCTTTTTACCCTGATTGATACAGTTTTATGCTGTCACGTATTAGTGACAGTCGGCGCGAAAGGGTTAAGCGTTGAAATGTATCCTCAAGCTTAATTTATTTTCATGTTTTTTCAAAACATCAATTCAATCTCCGTAATTTAATATTTTAATTTATTCCCAAAATCTCTTAAGTTGTTTACAGCATTTTAAATTCCCTTATTTAGTCTAAACGTTAAATTAATTTCCACTTATTAATTTATTTTTTTTCTTTTCTAAACGTTAAATTGGTTGTTATAGTGTACATTTTTATCTAATTTTCTAAACGTTAAATTTTTTTTCATAATTTACTTTTACATGTTTTCTAAATGTCAAATTGTTCACCACATTTAGGCTTATTTTTTATTTGTACAACTTTTCTTACTTTTTCCATTGTTAAAGTCTTTAGAATTCTTATTTTAGAAAAGGTATTTCAAACACAAACAAAAGCCATAGAAGAACAAATCCTATAACTTTTTCAGTGAAATAAATTTCCTAAAGGAAAAGATGATTTGTGTGATTATTTACATTTTCTGTTTTTTTTTCATTTGAAAACCATTTATCTATTAGCAAACATCATGATTTTAACTCGTTTGAAACATTTTCTTAGATTTTTCTAATTTTCAAATTCTAATTTTTGGTTCTTTTTTCTCTTTTGGAATTTCATTTCGATATGTACGTGAAAACAAAGAGTACAAACTTGGCTGGATGTGTGCAATAGTTTATTTTGAAATTAAAACTATATTGTTCGATTGTTTAAAAGCGTAGCACAAATGTGACTTTTACGAACGAAAATGATGTACATGTGGTTCATTAATTGTTTGCTTAAGGAATTCCACCAAATAATTTGTTTTCTAAAGAACTATTGAATTTTTTATATTGATACAACTAATATTAACTTAAATATTAATAATTTAAATGTTTATAATTTAGATATTAATAATAATATTAATAATAATAATATTTTACAATAATAATTTAAAATTAAAGTATTTTTCAAAATTTTAATTCCAGGGTGGCTTAAAATTCATACAACGTTAATAGGGGGATGAATTTTATTTTGTTAATCTTAAATGAAGAATGGGGAATGGTTTGGGCAGCACTTCCTATAAGATAGTAAATTCTCCGTATTTTTAGTTCCTTAAATGCAAAATAACTGCAACGAAAAAAATTACATTTGGATAAATTTCCATTTTAGAATAAAAGTTGATCATGGAGAAAGAAAAAGTTGGAAGAAATTCTTTACAGGAATTTTAAAATTTTATAATTTTTTTTAATGTAACGTTTGTTTTATGCATAGTTACATCCTTTAGTTGTATTT